TTGCAGGAGCGGAGCGGAGCGGCGGCGCCCGGGGGAGCGGGGGAGGGCGGGCCCGGAGCCGCCGCCGCCGCCGCTCAGCGCGCTCCTTGCGGCCCGCAGCGCCACCATGAAGGCGGGAGGCAGCGTCGTGGACAAGGCCGAGGGCGCCGCAGGTGAGCGCCGGATCCCCGGGGGTTTCGAGGCCTCTGGATCCGGGGAGTTCCGGGGAGGGGGCGGCGGGGGCCTCGGGCTTGAAGCGGAATGTGGGGAACATCCTGGAATGGCTCGGAGGGGGCGGGCGCCCTGCTCCGGGTGGGAATGCCGCGGGAAACGTTGCGGGTTGGCCCCCGAGTTGCGCTCCCGTGTTCCYGGTAACGCGGCTGGAGACCTCCCGAATCCTGGAATGGTGCCCCGCGCCTGGAATCGTGCCGGGAAAACGGGAATTGGGGCGGCCGCCCCCGGAATGGGGCTGTTTTCCCTGCCCTGGGGCACATAGGGATGAGGCCAGGGCCCCTTCCCGGCCTCCGGAGCGCCGGGGCCCCTTCCCGGTGTTTGTTGCTCCTCTATGTTTCCCACACCCCTTTCCAATTTTCCCACCCCAAAAATGGGTTAAAAAGCAACAGGTGGCGAAATACCAGAACCTAAAAGGAGAATTTTGGAATTTGGGGGGCTTTCCCTTCCGATTCCCTCGGAATTCCAGCTGCCAGAGGCGCTGGGAGGCYGCGCTCCGCATAACAAACAACAAGAGCCTCAATCCGGGTTGGGGCCGGGGGGCGCAATTCCGAGTTGATCCCGACGGGGCGGGGGCGGCTTTTCCAGGCTACCACTTCCCGGACTGGGCCTACAAGACGGAGTCGAGCCCCGGCTCGCGGCAGATCCAGCTGTGGCACTTCATCCTGGAGCTGCTGCAGAAGGAGGAATTCCGCCACGTCATCGCGTGGCAGCAGGGCGAGTACGGCGAGTTCGTCATCAAGGACCCCGACGAGGTGGCGCGCCTCTGGGGCCGCCGCAAGTGCAAGCCCCAGATGAACTACGACAAGCTGAGCCGCGCGCTCCGGTGAGCCCTGGGAATGCCGGGAATCCCGGCGGGAAGCCGTTTCCGGCGGGACGCGGCGGCCGCTTCCGCGCCCGGCTGCCGTTAGCGACGCTTCCCGCTTCTCGTTGTGTTATGTGGAAGCCTGGAGGCCGAGGGCCCCCGGCTCCTCATTCCTGCTCCTTTTTCCGCTCCTCCGTATTCCCCAAGGATGAGAGTTGGGCTTCCCGGGCTCCCCAAACGCTTCCCGGGCTCCCCAAAYGCTTCCCGAGCTCCCCTTTGCTTRTGGGATCTCCTTTGCTTTGGATGACTCTTCCTTCACCCTTCATATTCCAAAGCCATTAGTGAACTTCCATTTTATTTATTATTCCATTTTCTTTTATTTTTATTCCCTTTTATTTCCGCTTTCCCCTTGGGAAGCAGCCGAGGGKTTTTTTTCTCCACTTGGTGCTTTGTATTTTGAAGCAAATTGGTGAAAATAAAACGGTCCTGCGAGGATCCCGGTGCCTTCCACACTCCGATCCCTCCAGGACGGAGCCACCACCGGACAAACAGGGCGGGAAACGCGGGAACCTCCTTATGGAGCGGGAAGGAAAGGACGGAGCGGGTAGCGGCAGCGCCCGCATCGGTGCTTGGCAGGGGAAAGTGCCCTTGGGTGCCACCGTCGAGGAATTTCCCCTTATGGGCGAATCCAGGGTGTCTTTGGGACACGGCTTGCCGAGGCATTCCCAAAAAAGGCATTCCCGGCCCTCTCTCCCAGGATGTTGATGGCTCTTTTGCCCTTCTTTCCCAGCTATTACTACAACAAGAGGATCCTCCACAAGACGAAAGGCAAGAGATTCACCTACAAGTTCAACTTCAACAAGCTGGTGATGCCCAACTACCCCTTCATTAACATCCGTCCCAACGGTGAGTGGGGCCTCGGAGCGAATTCCCTCGGCCCGAGGGAATCGCCGCGCCGGGATCGAAGCTTTTCCGGCAACTCCATGCCTCCAATCCCCCTTGCAGCATCAAAAGGATTTTTGGGGTGTTTTTCCCCCCGCCCCAACCAAATTAGATCTGGAGTTGCCAGGAACGGGGAAGCGGAGGCGGTTTTAAGGTAGCGACTAAAGGAGTTTTAAGTTCAATCATGGAATTGTCTGGATTCTCCCTGTGGCATGACGGCAAGGAAAGGGAGTTGGGAAGTGCCACACGAACGTGCTGCTTTTGAGAGGCCTTTTGAGTCTCCCRCCAGGGCAGGAGCAGGAATTGGGGCTGGATTTGTCCCGGGATCGGCCTTAATGTTGGGGTTTGGCCAAAAAGAGGGTCCTTTCGAGGGTGCCTTTTGGTGGAAATTCCTCCTTGGGCCATCGTGGGRTTTTTATGGCTGGCCGGCCCCAAAATGAGGGGAATTGGTGGCAACCGAGGCCATCAAAACAAAACTCCTGGTTTATTTAGGGGAAAACTTTCATTTTCGGGAAAACTCCTGGTTTATTTTGGGGAAGGGCTTGAGCTGCAAACCCTCCCCKCCAAGAAATGGGGGGAATTCGGAGCACCAACGCTCCAAAGGCGTTATCCCAGGGCGAGCAGCAGGCCTGGAGCCCTGCAGTATTCCCGAAGGAATTCTCCTTCACCCGGGAGGGCCCCGGAGCCGAACACGGGGGTGGAAAGTCGGAGCGCGAAGCGGCGCCGCAAAATCCCTAATTGCCTGACAAGTCCGGGCAGTTCCCGCTCCACGTTGCTGCCTGCTCCTCTTCCCTGTTTGCAGCCGCTCCCTTCGATCTCGGGGGCCCCCCGTTTAAAGAAAAACAAGGAGTTTGGGAGCGCCGGAATGCGCTTAATTAGACAACCTGCGCTTGGCTAATGAGCACTTTGCTGCTGCTCGCGCTGGGGGTTGGGCTAGGAGCCCTGGTTGGGGCAGCGGAGCCGGGATTTGGCTTTGGATTCTTCCCTTGTGCGGCTCCGGAGCTGGAGGAGTCCCGGGGCAGCGGGGTGAGGAAGAGGAAGGTTCATTCGGGAAGCTGGGGAGAAGGAGACGGAGTTAGTGGGGTGAGAAAAGGTAGTCTTAGATGAGCACCAATGCGGGGGGTTTCAGTATTCCATGCTGGGAATTCCATTGCAGCTTCACCGGAGCGAGGGATCTGGGAAGGGGCCCCTGGAAGGGCTCCCCGAGCCCTGGGAGGCGCCGGGGAGGCGCCGGGCGAGGCGGCTTGGGAGGCTCCTCCTTTGTAATCGCGGGCGGGATTTGTGTGTTCCGCTTCCAAGCGCCTCCGGGCGCCTCCGGAGAGCGGCTCGCGGGATTGCCGCTCCCCTTAACTCCCTGTTTCCCGCCCTTGTTTTCCGTGCCCCGCCGCAGGTGTCGTCCCGCAGAGCGCCCCGCCGGTGCCCACGGCCTCGTCCCGCTTCCACTTCCCGCCGCTGGACGGCCCCTCTCCCACGGAGGACGCGCAGCCCGGGCGCTTCCCCGCGGGCCCGCTGGTGCCCCCGGGCGCCGAGGCGGCCGACGGGCGCCCGCTCGACGCCGAGGCCGA